CTGGCACTGCCCGTGGGAAGACAGATACCTTTCCTGGTACCAATGATGTTACCTGCTCATGGTGACCTGCTCATGAGGCAGAACAAGAGAACTATCAAATCAGTTTGATATTAGGGAATCACCCTGCTGAGGCTACCAGTGCAGCCTTTAAAGACTCAGAAGAACTCTGTGTTATACCACTAGAAATACCAGAGCCAGAGAAAAATGATATCATGGAGAGACTGGTATGGATAAAGAAAAAATAAATTAAAAAAAAAAAGTAAAAAAACCCCAAAGAGATTCCTAGAAACTTCAAAGGTAACTGAGAAATGTTGTTCCATTTAGACAAGGGATTAATTCTGAGGCATTGGTTCTGTTCTCACTGAAGTCTTGGGCAATGAGTTCAGTAAAAAACAAATTACTTACTAGTGCACATCATGTAACATTTTATAAGCAAATGCGTTGGCCAAGATTTTATTACAGACATACATGCATAATTCTTTCCAGATAGGCCAATACCCAACTACATATCAGCTTCAGTAAGAATTCCATGCCATAGTCTGAGACTCATAACTCTATCACTTACACTAAAATCTTATAGGGTGTAAAAAGCACACACTCAGTAGCCACTAACAACTATAGAGCATTCTAGAAGCACTGTGCTACCTATTTCTTTTCCAGATTTCCACACTTTATTACAGAATTTCTCTTGCTCTTTCTTTAAGTTGATATGTGTTACACAACGATAATTATGATCACTGATTAAACTGAAGATCCAAAGCTGCAAGAAAAAGAAAAAGCAATTGCAATAACCCTTTGACACTAAATATAAAGTTTACATTAATACAAACTAAAGACCCAGTATTTAACACTTTTGATGTAACTAATGAACTTCTTTGAACTGCACATCAAATTCCCACATGTTTATATGTTTGAAAAAAACTCCGCCTAGACTATTTCCCACAATTAAAAATCACAGGTAATGTGCATGTCATTGTTCACTGGGTCATGTAGGCGAATTTCGTTTATACCTTTCTCTTTTAAGACAAAGGTGTAGTTAAATCTTTAATTTTCTTAAGAATTCACTGAACAGTAATCATGAAGGAAAACAGCTGAAAAATCTCATAAAAATATATAACTAACATTAAAGAGGTGAAATGCATATTCACAGTTATTACATTTGTATTAGAATTCCAACATGTTGAAATCATAGTCCTATTTTTCACATTTTTTTTTTAAACAGGTATATTTATAGCCTTTCAGCATACTCTTCTTACATAATCACTGATTGTGCTCTTAAAAACTTTCCTGGTTTTCAGGAAAAAGTTTGTTTTGCAATAGAAGTCTTATATACTATATATGGTTTATGGTCAAAGAATTGAATTATGATTATTAAAATAACTGCTGCAACACTTCAAAACTTGTATGCAGTTTGTGAAGCTTTTTTATAGACAGAAACATTAATAATAGTTGACTGTTTTGACATAGAGACTAAGTTTAATGGGCAATTCTTACCTGTCCCTCACCACATCCAGTGATAAGTTGTTTGTTTTCTTCATCAATTAGCAAACTTAGCAAAGGAAACGCTGCTTAAAAAAAAAAGTATTTGATTGAAATACATTTAATTAAAACACATGATTCAAAATTGAATACCACCTATTCATAAAATAGGAGGAAAAAACCTTACTGCACTTCTTACAGTTGCACAATGATTTGTGTGCCTTAATCTTTGGGCTGCTAAGGGCTTTTCACTTGCTGGTTTGTGGACTGCCTTTTACCCAAGCTGCTGTGGTATGGTTTTCAGAACCCCTGTGGTCAGTAGCTTTCCCTTGTTTCAACCATGTAGTTGTTTTCATGGTCTTGCACCTGCAAACACTGACATTGTGCTCATGGTAGGTTTTCAAGCTAAACAATTGCCACAGGCAATGGGGGGATTCATTACTTCTCCCTCTCCTTTTCTAATCTGTGTTTTTAGCTTTTAGTTTATGTGAGGTCCTTCAACAAAACGTTATGCACAAAGCTTAACAACCAGCTCCATGCAACTCACACCCCCAAAATGTGCTCCAGTCACCACTAACAGCACCACAAGCAGGAACAACCAAAGGGAAATTTTGAGTGGGTCCTGTTGAAACCTGTACGGTTCCTGTAGGAAAAGTGCTTTGAAGGAGGGGTCCCTGCTACACCGGAGACAATGCTTGCCCTCCTCTTCTCTCCTTTTGCTCGTCTTTCCACAAAACAAGCTTTCATCTTTAAAGTCAATATATACCATCAACTGCAGACACTGTTAATAAACCTACTCTTCTAGAATTATTTTCACTAAATCAACTAAAAACTTCTACAATAATGCTAGACTACTCTTTAGAGAGAGGAGGGTTTTGCTATGAAAAAATACACATAAAAATAGAAAACTTACCTGTTATTATTCCCGACTGATATATTAATTGGCCGGTAGAATAGTCCCACACCTTTGAATAAAAAAAAGACGTAGATAGGTATCTACTTGGGTCTCTAAGGAAACACAACCTTTAACGGCCATCACGTGGTGAAAACAGAGAAATGCAGTCATTGAAAGTGATGTCCTTAGATAAAGATTTTTTTCAGCACTTGTTTCCAAATACAAAGGCCTTTGTTTAATTGATAAGCATCCATGGTGTAAAAGGTGAAACTCACATAATATGATTACATGAACTAATTAGAATTATTTCTTATCATCTTTGCTTAGTTTGATATCTTAGTGATTTTAGCTAAATTAATGAAAAGACATACATTAATGAACAAGAAAAGAAAAAAAAGAGGAAAGGAAGGGGAGAACGGAGGGGAGAGAGGGGAGGGACCCACAACCTTTGATATTTATTTTAGCTTGTAGAAAAAATTTTGGGCTACATTTAGAGTCATATTGAGGACAATCAGTAGTAGATTAAAGTGTATGCAATTAAGGTACCTATCCCAATATCTCCTAGAAAATACGTCTGGGTTCACTCAGGCTTCTTGTTTCCCCTTACTGTCTAAGTTGTCTTACAATTGTCATCATGCACAGCAGCAGCAATCCATGGTGTCATCATTTAAAATGTTGACTGTCAAAAATCCTACCAATATGCAATAACCCAGCCATTGCATACAATAACCCAAGACAATATTCCCAAAAGGGAAAATTCAAACCAATGTCAACAGACTCACAGTGAAATGTTTTCATTCAGTTCAGCATACCTAAAACACTTCAGCTACAATGAAACTAATGAAAATATTTTACTTTATTTCTATGTGCTAGATGATAATAATCACCAAAGTTAACAATTGATGTGGAAAGTTTTAAATATACAAAATCTGCATTGTTCTTTCAAAAAAGAGAAATTAATTTTTACAGTAATTTCCTGAGCATCTCTAAGAACATGTCCTTCTCTCTATAAAGTCAAAGATGTTTTTTGCTTTATCCTCACAAAATATTTCAAGGGGAAAAAAATTACTTCACATATTCACTAAATTATTCTTTTTTAAGTTTATCTATGCAATTTCCTTGCCTTAAAGGTTCTGTCTTCTGATACTGATATGAGCATGCTTTTCTCCCATGTGCAAAACTCAGCAGCAGTCACTGGAGCCAGGTGGCCATCCAATTTAGCTAGTATAGCTTCATTCTGTGATTAGTCAGTCAAAAACAAAAACACATTAGATTTCAAACTAAAATTGACTATTAAGTAAATATTTTAATAATAACTGTTGCTAAACATTGTCAGATTTATTTTCAAAGTATAACTCAATAAGATTTTTCTCATGGAAACTGCAGCCCTGTATATCATCCTGCTGACAAAGCCACTACACATTACATTTGGTTCTTCAGAATTAATTATATAGGAATAATTTTTCAGATGACCTAAGAATGTTTTCTTCTTCTAAGTTATTGTGATATTGTTTCACTTCAGCTTTTTTAATCTAGTTTTCTATTTGGTATGCGTTGCATTATCAAGCATCTGTTCACACTTATTTTATGAGAGAAAATGAACACTTTTGCTTAATTATACTAACATTTCTGTATCATGATTTTATTTGAAAGTGAATCAGTTAATGAAATACCAGCACCATGGCTACAGAGAATGGTATCTCACCTTTGCACTTAACATGTAGATCCGATTTCCAGCACATACTGCCACTTGTTGATCATCTGGGCTAAATCTTACATGAAGCACCATTCCCAAAAGAGTTCTTATAACAATTCCATGAGGTGTAAACCCTGTAGCAATTGTATTGTTAATGATACTCAATGAAATATAAAATTCCGGTGCAGTGAGATTTTTAGAAACTTCACACAGTAGTTACCTAACCATAGAAGCTGTCCCAGTTTCTGTCAGGAAGATGTACAGAAGAACACACTGTTTAATTACACCAGGCTATTGAAAAGCACAGAACTATGCACCATCAGAATTCCTCCATCTGCCTTGTTGCCTAGACATGACCTGGTACTCTTTGAGATATTAAAAATTCCCATCAAGTTATGCTTCCATTGAAGATTGCCACAGACAGGATTTTTGGAGTAGGGTGATGTGCCCATGGAACCCAGCAGAGCCACATTAATTCTGGACGTAAGAAATCCTGACTGAAGCACAGCAAGACAAGGCTTTGGAAAACACTTCTTGATACTTTTTTTCTCCTCTTTCATTATTTCTCTACTTTCCAATCTATTTAAGCTTGAAGAGGGGTTAGAACTGCTCCTTAGAATCTAACTTCATTGGTTGAGGCTCCAAACCTATATGGTGGTCAGGATACTAAAACTCCTGCTTTCTGTGTGTTATATCACCATAACTCTCTTTCACTCGCAAACTTTCCTCACAAATCAGATACTTGAATTGCTCACACACACGTGACAACAGTGTTCCAGAGACAGGAGAGGCAGGACCAGAAAAGGCGGGATGCAAAACACTAGTTCCACAGATATTCCAGAAAAGGTAGCATTTAGTTATTTTGGCATTGCATGTTTAAATATGTAGTGCTGCTATGATTATTTTTTTTCTGTCCATTTTGTTCCACAGCGGCAGAACGTCACTGCCTTTGCAGTGCTTCCCTGCGTTTCACCCGAGGTTGATGGCAGGCGCTTGTTCCCGCACAGCACCTTGGTCAGCTCCCGGGGCTGCCCCGGCGGGGCCGCCGCTGCCGCCGCCCGTCTGCAGCCCCCGGCCCCCGGCCCAGCACGGTATCGCCGAGGAAGAAGGGCAACAGAGAAATAAAGCACCGATATCACTGTTAGGGCTGCTGAATCTGAGTGGTTGAGGTGTGCTTCTCAGAAATAACAATCTTGTTACATAAGGAACAGTGGGAGAAAAGCAGATGTTGGGGATGGTCTTCCAAGGTGGCCACTGCTCAGTCTGTCTGGGTACTGGTCTGAGTGATTGGTGGTGAATGATTCCCTTTGTATCACTTCCTTTTATATATATGTTATACAGAGACCCTGAGATTAGCTCAGTTGGTTAGGGTGTGGTGTTCATAACCCCAAAGTTGTGGGTTTGATCCCTAGACAGGTCTTTCACTTAAGACTTGGACTCAATGATCCTTGTGGGTTCCTTCCAACTATGATTCTTCAGCCACTCCTAAGGATATACATTATATAAATAACACACTACCTTCTTGCACCTTCTGTATACATTCATCAAGATTCCACACAATCACACGTTCATGAGAGGCAGAGCAGACAAGAGGTGGACTGATGTTACTTCCGAATGACAGCGCAGAAATCGAGTAATGATGCCCTGACAAAAATAATGACTGACAAATGTAGATAAAGAAGAGTTAAATTAATCACTTCAGACAAAGGTTATGAACAATACAAAACTACAAATGGATAATGCACATGCAATCAACAAAACACTAACTAGTTTTTATTTATTGTTTCAAAATCACTTAACTACAATGTAGTTATACTGGGCTTGTCTGGGATGGAAACAACTTTTTGCATAGCAGCACAGTGGTTTGGATTTTGTGACAAAAACAGTGATGATAATACAGCAGTGTTTTGGCTGTTGCCAAACACTGCTTGCAAAGCTTGAAGGCCTTCTCTTTCTCGCCACTTTTTCTCAGTTTCCCCATCTCAATAATAGGTTGAAGATGAACAAGAAGCTGTAAGGGGACACAGCCAGGACAACTCTTCTGAACCAGCAAAGGCATATTCCCTACCCTATCATGTGCTCAGCAACAAAACTGGGGTACTGCATGAAGAAAGTGTTGAGGGCCTGGGGGATTGTCTTCTAAGCCGGCTTTTGCTTGAAGTCTGTACTGGGATTGTTGTGCTTATAGGGGGTGGTAAATGACTGCCTTCATATGGCTTCTTTCTTTGTCTTCCCTTCACTCATTAAACTATCTTTAACTCAGCCTTTGACTTTTTCCTCGTTTTTGCCCATCCCATGCTCTCCCCACCCCGCTGGGAAGGAGTGATCAGGACACCGTGTGATGGTTTAGCTGCCACCCACGTCAACCCACCACAACAGCTTATATTACTCTTATCACAATAACAAAGCTCACAACAAGTGCTAATATCTTTTCAGCATTAAAGTGAAGCCTGACCCTTCTACATTACCCTCAAATATTTTATTTATATTTCCCTTACAAGCCTTAGTTTAAAGTAGAAGGCTATGCAGGGATATATTGTGGCTTTACCTGAGCAGTGGCTGTGTTCCAGATGCATAACTCATTGCCATTCACAGGGAAAGCACAGTGATTGTGACTGCACGCCAGCTGAACAAGGGGCTCGGGCAGTTTGGCTTTAAACAAGCGCTTTTCACAGACAACGTCAGGATCGCAGCTTCCTCCAGAGGAACAACGGGCCCCGGCGCTTTCCATCCTGCGGCTGGCAACGGACCACCGGGGCCGGCTTCTCCTCTCCGGCTGCGCCCTGCCGCGGGGGCCGAGGTTCACAGGGCCCGGGGGCGGAGGACCCTCCCGCGGGGAGCCGGAGAGCCCCGCCCGGCCGGGCCCCTCCTCCTCCCGCCGCGCCCGGCGCGACCCGTCACCAGGGCAGCGGCGCCGCCGACGGGTGGCCGGGCGGGACAGCCCTCGCTGGCCGCGGAGCGCGGCGGGCCCGCGGGGGCACCGGGGGGCCCCTGGCCTGCGCAATGGGCCCCGCGGCCGGCGATCGCCCGGGGCTGCTGCCTCGCTCTCCAAACGTGACAGTTCTCCGCAGCCGTGCCCTGGGCTGCACAGAAAGCAGTGTGACCGGCAGGTCCGGGGTAGAGATTGCCCCACTCGACTCCGCTCTTAGCGGGACCCCAGCTGGAGCACTGCATCCAGCACGAGACAGGCAGGACGTGTTGAGCCGGCCTGTAAGGACGGATGCCAACACCTCTCCTGTCAGAAGACAGGATGAGAGAGTTGAGGTTTTCACAGAATCAGAATGGGTCAGGTTAGAAGGCACCACAGTGGGTCATCTGGTCCAACCTCCATGCTCAAGCAAGGTCATCCTAGAGCACATGGCACAGGATTGTGTCCAGGTAGTTCTTGAATATCTCCAGTGAGGGAGACTCCACAACCTCTTTAGGCAATCTATTCTAGTGCATGGTTACTCATGCAGCAAAGTTCTTCTTCATATTCAGGTGGAACTTTTTCAGCCTGGAAAAGAGAAGGCTCCAGGAACACCTTATAGCAGTCTCCGAATATATACAGGGGGCATGTAAGAAAGACAGAGAGAAACTTTTTACCAAGGCCTGTAGTGTCAGGACAAGGCGCAATGGAGTTACACTAAGAGAGGGTGGATTTGGATTGGACACAAGGAGCAAACTTTTACAGCACAGGTGGTGAGGCACTGGAACAAGTTTCCCAGAGAAGCTATGGATATCCTGCCACTGAAAGTGTTCAAGGCCAGGCTCGATGAAGCTTTGACCAACTTGGTCTACTAGAAGGTGTCCCTGCCCACAGCAGGGGGGTTGGACTAAGTGATTGTTAAAGGTCCTTTCCAACCAAATCCTTTCAGTGGTTCTGTGATGCAGAGGGCACAGCACAGAACAACCCATGACAGCACATGAAGAAAAAAAACAAACCTTTTGCTCTCACCAAGTCTGTGGATGATGCCAAATGGGGAGGAGCAGTCAGAAACCAGATGATGAGAATTTTGTGGAGTCCAACAAGAGTAAGTGAAGTCCTGCATTTGGCGCAGAGTAACTCCATGCAAGAGGACAAGCTGAAGGATGGCTGTCTGGGAAGGGGCTCCACAGAAAGGATCCAGAGATTTTGCTGGAGAAGCTGAATATGAACCACCACTGTGCCCTTGTAGCAGAAGCAGGCAACAGCATCCTGGGCAGTGTTAGTAATAGGGAGTAGCCAGCAAGTCCTAGGAGTGCTTTCCCCCCTCTATTTGGTACCTGGAAGGCCACATCTGCAGTGCTGTGTCCAGTTTGGGTTTTTTTGGTAAAAGAAAGATATCAACATACTAGAGCAATTCTAGTAGGGGGCAAGAAAGATGGTCGGGATGTGGAGAAGATGATGTACACAGAGAGGCTGAGAGAACTGGGCCTCTTCAGCCTGAAAAAAAGGCAGCTGAGACCTTATGGTTGCCTATAACTACAAAATTATAGGATACAGGGAAGACAGAGATAGACTTTTCTCAGAGGCACTCAGTGATAAGCTGGAACTTGTGAAAATCCAACTGGATGTCCGCAATTTTTTTTTAATACTATGATGGTGGTTGAATGTCAGAACAAGTTTCTGAAGAGTCTCTATCCCTGGAGTTGTCCAGGAGTCAAATGGACATGGTCCTGAGCAACCTGATTTAACTAGAACTGTTTTGAACAGGAAGTTGGACTGGAGGACTTTGGAGACCCCTTTCAATCCCCAGGTTATGATTTTATGATCAAGCGTGTGATCTGCACCAACTTAAACCATTTTGATGTAGATCAATCTGTGGACTCAATATCTACCACAATTGCATTTCAAACAGATACTTTCTATAGGAATATCTTATTGTGTCTATAATTAGGACTATGAGCATTTTTGCCCTATATGGGCATCTAATATATATATTACCATTGAGAAAACAATCTCCTTGTGTTACTTTTGCCTGGAGAAAGTACCAGTCCAAATTCTCTTTTGTGTCTGCATGTGAACTTGAGTAAAGCCACTGTATTGAGCTTTACCTCTGTATTGAGCACCAGCTGCACAGAGGTAACTCAGTGTACTGCACATGACAGTGATTTTCTGAACTGTGACTCATGGCTGGAAATACTAGAGAAAATTTTATTGCTGGTGACAATTTTTCATGAGTGATACAGTCATGAATGTGTTATGACAGTTTAGTCATCAGTAAAGAAAGACAAACGCTGACACAGAAAAAAAGGTGTTGTTCTGCCAGGCAAACAACCAACCCCCATGAGTATTAAAGAACTTGTTCTGAAATATGTTGTGTCTCTGTAACTGCTTTTAGGCAGTTTAGTATGCTTTTTTACAATTTTCACCATAATTCATTTGCATCTTAAAATGCTTATATATATAATACTTCCAATATCTTACTGTCCGCAACAAGTAGGGAACTAGTAGCAATCCAAGGAAGTATCAGAGATCTTGAACTGATTTCTTGACTGATCCAACAGCAGTTAGATCACCAACTGCTTTCCTGCAGCTGAACCCTGAACCAGTAACATCAATCTGATGGAGTCCAATTCAGACCATCACTGCTTTTCACCCTTCCAGTAGGTGCTGTTGCTTCTCAGTGGCCAAGATGCCCCTCATCCAGCACCATAACAGGCAGCAGATTTCTGCCCTGTTGGAACAAGGCGACAGTTTTATGAGAATATTAATGATGTCTGAGTGTGCAAGGAGAATTTTTTACCTCACCACACCCCCATGAAACACCTCCTGGTGATGCCCTGTTTCTATGCAAAACAATATCTAAAGGATCTTGGCTCCAGCACGTTCCCACATCCTGGGTACCCACCCATGTCAATTGGAACTGACAGCCATGTGGAAAATGAGAGACTGTTGCAATTTTAGGGCATTTTAGGGAAATAGTAGTCCTTTACCATATCATGCTTTTGTGTCCAACCGTATATTTCTATTGTTCTCAATATTCAATCACTGTAAGAAGAACTTTAAAAATTAGGGTTAGCAGCTTTAATATTTTAATGTTTTAAACAGTAGTCTGTTTATAAGATTGAAATTGATTTTTGAAAAGATGACATTTGTGAGAATCTGTATCTGGCAGGTTTATGCAGCCCATTTGTTTGAGGTAGGAATGAACAGAACAAGTTACGTGGGTTTTATGAAATTGGAGGGCTTTGAAGACAGAATATTAACTCAGTTAATAGAGAGTCCCTGGGGTACATACACAGATTGTCTTGAATCTTCCAGAACACAAAGCACTTCATGCAGATTTTTTTTCATTTCAATCCTTCCTTCTTGCTTATGATTTTAAAAACCTCAGCCAGGTCAAGGTATCTGTTGAAATCAATGAAATCAAGGGGTATTCAGTAGCACAATAGACAACAGGCAGAAACTGATGCACAGGAAGTTCCACCTCGATGTGAGGAAGACCTTTACCGTTTGGGTAACTGCACATCAGAACAGATTGCCCAGAGAAGTTGTAGAGTTTACCTCACTGGAAATATTCAAGAACCGTCTGGATGCAATTCTGTGCCATGTACTCTGGGATGACCCTGCTTGAGCAGGGAGGTTTGACCAGATGACCCACTGTGGTCCCTTCCAACCTGACCCATTCTGTGATTCTGTGAAAAGCAATATTTTGTTTTAATTTTTTTTTCTCTCTTCGCAGTGTTCTTCTGTTCCGTGATCTCAGGTCAGGTTTAGGCCGACAGCCAAACAAATTGCCACTAACTCCTGCAGGGACACACATGCCCCAGCAAGCTCATTACATCCCATTTCAGTGCAGCTAAAGTTAATTTCTCCAGTTTTAGGCTTTCACTGTGAAGACCGCTGAGCGTGGCGCAGCACACCGCCCACACTCTGACACCGCCGCTATCTCGCCGCCCGCACCGCTCCTTCATTCAGGAGCCCCCGCGTGGCCCCGCCCCACCGCCAGCTCTCGCGATAGCTGGGCGGCGGCCGGTGCCCGAGGCGGCCCGGGAGCGCCGGCGGTACTGGCGGCGATCGGGGGGCGGCGCGGAGGCTCCACCTGCCCCCAGCGACCCCCGCCCGCTGCCCCGGGCCGCGCTCGCCGGGGCGCACCCGAGCGGCCCCCGGAGCGCGCAGGGGGGCGCGGCGTCCCGCCCTGCCCGCCGGCTCCTCAGCGCCAGCCTCCTCCCGGCCGCCGCACTGCCCAGGGGCCCGCCCCGGGGGAGGGGCTTCCCCGCGGCGCCCCGGCCGCGCTGCGCTGCCGCACGTCCTCGCTGCTCTTCCTCGCGTTGGCCGCGGCCTCGCCGTCGCCGGAGCCCCGCGGCAGGTCGGAGGTGAGCCGTGCCCCAGCCCCTGGCCGGCGGCGTGACGCCGAGACCACCGCCGGGGCCGCCCCGCGCCCCCCGGAGCCGCCGCTGCCCCCGGAAGGTGTCCTGCCCGCGGGGAGGCGGGGGCGAGCCGGGGCGGGCAGCGGTGCTCGTTCCTGGCTCTGTCCAAGGTCTCCTGGAATCGCCACTCCTCCCGAGCGCTGCGCCAGCGCCAGGACGCTTTCGTCCGTCCCTAGATAACTTTAATTATTTTCTGCTCGGATGTGGAGGTCCTCCTGTGCCTCCGCTCAGATATTTCATCGCTACTTTTATGTAAAAGTGGTAGAGAGTAAGCTCCGTGATACGGGGAGACAAAAGACTGTCCTTTCCTGTCGCTGTTGAGGGAGTTTTGTGAGTCTGGCAGGTTCTGCGAATGCTGCGCCTCCGTCTTTTGTGCTGGCTTTGCAGAATTGTGGCTTTGCAGTAGAGAGGCCTCTGGGGCAGAAAACTTGGAACTACAGAAATAGTTGTACGTTTTTTTCCCCGTAGATCTGTTTAATAGTAAGACCTCTAAGGTTTAAGTGACATCTCAGTGGAAGTAATGCAGTTTGTTTACATGGTAGCAGGGTACAAAGCAACTTACAGGCAGCTTTCGCGTTTAAGATATTTGTAATGTCCTTATGGAAGGAACGAGGGGGTGAGAATCTTCCTCAAACTTGAACCTGTTCAGGGTTGTGGTTCCTGTGATTTGCACGCCAGATTCAGTCAGCTATATACTTTGGAAGGGAGGTTGCTGCTTTGCATGCACAGACTGACCACAGCTGTTCAGAGGACTGCACTGTGGCAGGCACACTCAGGCAGCCTAACTGACTGTGCAGCAAGGAGGGAAAAGGGTGTAAGAGCCTTGATGTTGCAGCAGTCATTTTCATCTTCCCCTTGCCCCAGTACTTTCAGCCTTCTCTTCTGTAAGCAAGTGCTGTAAAGGGCTGGGTGTTTGTAGGGTAACAAAATCTTGAAAGTAAATGCATTTTATTCAGGTACAATAAGCTGAATTTGGCCCTAGAAACAAGCCACACAGCAGAATCATAAATTAATGTATTACTTCATTAGATAATGTTTTTCTTTCTAACTCCATTCCCAGTGCAAGTCAGAATGCCTACTGCTTCATGTGCACATCCAGATTTACACCTTTACTGTCTTTTGAAGTTGAGGTGAGAGGATGGAACAAATAGGATGTCCTAAATACCTCATAAAAAGTTAAGCTTCTCCAAGCATGTAAAAGCCTTCCTTTTTCTAACTGTTTTGGTTTAGTTTTTTTTAAACTGAAGTTAAAATAATTATTGGATTTCATCCCTTCTGGTTACCTGTCAGATTTGTCAGGTATGCAGGTAGAATGAAACTAAAGTCTCTGTGTCAGTTCTTTATAAAAGAACACTGGCTTGATTAATTTCTGTTTAACTTTATGGAATTCAGGCCATTTTCAGTCTGATTCAGAACTCTGAATCTTAGCACTGCTTTTTGTTACTATTAAAAAATAAAAGTTAATGAACACACTTAATTGAAGTTGTTTAACTTGGTACGGGCTAGAGAGGATTTATAAAAATCCAAAATTAAAAAAAAAATCAATTCTTGCCAAGAAGGGAATATACTAAAATCTGATTTGTGTTTTGTATTCACAAGGTAGCAAGCGGGACACAGGAAGAGTTCAAGTACAATTTAAGATCATGGCAGCACACTGGAGAAAAGTCCTGATAATATGTGTGACAGCTCAAGTACTACTTGTAAATGCCTTTGAAGAAGAGGATGTACCTGAGGAATGGATTCTTCTTCATGTTGTTCAAGGTCAGATTGGAGCTGGAAACTACAGCTATCTGAGACTAAATCACGAGGGAAAGATAGTCCTTCAGATGCGAAGTTTAAAAGGTGACGCAGACTTGTATGTATCTGACGTGACACTTCACCCCAGCTTTGACGAGTACGAGTTACAGTCTGTAACCTGTGGCCAAGACATGGTCCACGTGCCTGCACACTTCCGCCGCCCTGTGGGAATAGGGATTTACGGCCACCCCTCTCACCTGGAGAGTGAGTTTGAAATGAAAGTGTACTACGATCGAACAGTTGTACAGTACCCATTTGGTGAGGCTTCTTATAACCCTGAGGAGATGGAGGCGAACCAGAAATACTCACAGTCTACAGAGGATGAATCTCAGGATGAGGAGTCTGTTTTCTGGACTATACTTATTGGAATCTTGAAATTAATACTTGAAATTCTTTTTTAAATTGATACGCACTGGACTAAGTCACACTTCAGCCTGTGAAACTGAGTATCAATGACATGCTGTAATATTTAATACTCTTTGTTATGTTTCCTGAAGAGGTATTCAGGTTACATTTCCTAAACCAGAAAGGAGGCGGGGAGAAAAAGCCATATTTAATTTTATATTGTAAATCCTCCCCTATATGTAAAATGAGCAGCAAGCACAGTATTTGCAGTGCTCTTCAGAGATCAGGGCTTAAAAATGAATGTATCGTTGGGATCTTGTTAACTTCACTTTTAAATAGGTGCTTAGAAAGATCAACTCCAATTCAGTATTTTCTACTGTTTTTTATACAGAAAAATGAAATAAACTCCTGCACTTCAGTTCCCCCCCCCAAATATCCTCAATTTAGCGCATATTTAAAAATAAAACCTGCTGCTTTTCGAGCAAGTATCTCCACTAAAACTAACTAGCAGTGGGTTTGAGTGTATTCATTAAGTTGAGGAGCCTAAGGCAAAGGAAGGAGAAAACAATCAATCACCTAAGGGGATAGGTGGTCTGTATTTTGGCTGTGGGTGCTCTGCATCACGTCAACCGTCTGTCAAGCAGAGATCTATCCAGTCACTCATCACCACTGCAAATCCATGACCTGAATGAAGTGCATGTTGCTTCTTTGCTGTTACTGTAGGGAGAGGGAGCCTTCAGCTGTTGTTACTTGTCAGTATGACATTTCCATGTCTCGTTAAAAACAACACAGCATATAGTATCTCGAACTTGAGGGGTGCTTTCTTACACTTCCCTTTATAGCTTTTTGTGATTGATCTCTTTTTTTTTTAGCACATCTTTATGCATAAGGCATTAGCTTGCAAAGAAAATTTCTGCTGAAAGGAATTTGCAGTACATTGTAAGAAGGTCATGTCATACCCACTCTTCCTCTAAAGTTACTTTTCCCAGGAATATTTTTTCTTTGGTTGAGTCTTTCAAAATAACCAGTTGCTATGCAAGTAGAGTATATTTAAAATGCTCTGTAGTTTTCTTTTCATGGAGCTTACTGATGAGTGCACTAAAATAAATAAGTACATTACTATAATTTTATACAAGTGGTGGATGTACGATTTAAATTTCATTACTGAAAGACTTCTCATTCGGAGTGGAAATTTGGTTTGTCTATATCAACATCTGACAGGACATGATTAGTGACATGTATCACAAAGAAATAATTATATAGACAAATTTAAAAGTTTATTTGGTAAAAAGAAAAAAAAAAAGTGGTATTGTTCCTCTAAGAGTGGTTGATTAAATAGCACCAAAGTATCACTTTAATTTGTGCATTTAAGTTTTGGAGAGCAAGTTTTTGGGGTTTTATTAGCCCTCTTTGCTGTTTTTCCCCCTTCTTCCTCCTCTTCTGGGTACAGGAGGGTCTTTTTGACAACAATCACAAATCCAGCGACCTAAGAAAAGAAAGTTATCAATTATTGGGAAACTAAGTTTGTTACTCATCTAATTATGCACCTTTCATTATTCTAATAGGTGCTTACCTATTTGCAGTATTTCCTTTAATGCAAAAAACCAGTGTGTTTCTTTAAAATTAAGCATGTTTTCTATAAGTAGCATATACAATTCATGCTCCCTTGCAGACCCCTTACATGTAACCACTGGCTATACAAATCCTTATGGACCTCAAGAAGTGTCAGCACTGCTAAGGAGGTGGTTATTAGATAAGACTTGACAAACAATGCTCAAGTTTGCCAGTTATACTTTCAGGTGAATGACTATAGTTCAAGGTTATGGGAAGTTACCCAGAGCAGAAATGAATGGCAGTTGGGGAGGCATTTAACTGTTTATATTACAACAGCTGGAATCATTAAGGCTGCCTTGGTAATTTTATAGGATTTTAGACATATGATTTATTTTGTTTACATTCTTAGGTTAGCCTGAAAGTGAAATCAACCACAGAACCTGTACTAAAGTGACAGCTAGCACCAGTGCTTCCCAAAATGGGACTGTACAGCATTTTTGAAGTACTCTACAGGGCATACTGTCACTGCCACAGAATACTTATTCATAAACTTACTTACCATGGATTTAGTATTACATGTAAAGCAACAATAGCACCTGTTCTTTTCCTTCTACAGCCTTGAGTTAGCAAGATGATATGAGTGACTGGGTAATTTAGAAGTACAGGCTGCCTGCCTGCCATAGAGGTACTTCAGTTAGAGCTTTGATGTTGAAGTAAAAAGGGAAGAAAGGGTTTAAAGAGGTGTTTACAAATATTGAAACTACTTTTGAATTTAGAAGCTGAAATAGCTGCACCAACAATTAATGAGAAAGCTACACACTAGCAATATGCAGCAATACAGTCTCTTTTACAAGTTTCTTTCATTAAAAGAGCTAATTACCCTCAGTGTTCTATGGATATGGAAAACAAATAGTTCTGAGTGAGCCTGTTTGGTTTATGTTGTAAAAGCCCATTATATTTCCTATACAGGAATTGCCAGGTTAAACTGTGCACAACCAAATATACAGAAATAAAGCATATTAAAAAAATCAGGTCCTACAGTATGAATGCTTTCCTACAGTATTTCTTACTGCTGCCCTTCACACTTGTTTCAGACTATTCTTTCAAAAGCAGTGCATGGATTAATGCTGAGAGAGAGCGCCCAAGACTCAGAGGAGGCGTGAAGGGAACAAGTAACTCTTACTTTATTACCTGAAGGGATAGCGTCAAGCCCCACACAAAAAGTGTGATAACCACGGTCACATACGTCACAGAACATCATTTCTTCTTCATGGTGAGGCTGCCCACATATAATGCACGTTTTACACTCCATACATTGCCAAGGATAAGTCTTAATCATAGCAACAAGCTCCGGGGTCATATCAAGGCAAGAAGGGTGGCCTAGATTAAAACCAGTATTATTACTTTTATGTCTGAAATGAAATTTAGAATTAGTTACACTCTTTGCTTTTACCGAAGCTGAAGCTTAGCTCACCTCCTGGTGAGATCCCACCGTGCACCCAAGTGTGCTAGTACATACAACATGGAAGAGAGATGGAGTCTTAATGAAGGACAGAAAAGGCAACTGAACTGTTGCTGCACATGTGTAGGACACTCAATATGTCCACAAAAAGATCTGTCAAACAAACTCCCTTAGGAATCCACTGAGTGTACGCAGATACTTACCACTGTTGTCACACTGGGAGCAATGTATAAGAGCTTCAGCTTTTCCTTTCTTGTTGGAGTCCTTACCCTTCAGACAAATTCCACATATAGCATTTGGAATGACCTTTGGCTGGAAGGGTAGAAGAGGGCTATAAATTTATTCCAGAAGAATTTACAGATTCAACAGGAAATGTCATCTATCTCCTTAACTATTAAAATAATAAACTGTTAGGATGTGTGAACCTTAAAACACGTGACAATAACTGACAAGCAGCGGCACTGAAAAAAAAATCATAGATTAAGTACATAAAATTTTCCAGTTGTCATACACAGTGAGTTATATATAAATCAAACTGTATCAAAATCATGTACTTGCTTCTTCCCAGGAATTCATCAGCTGACATGCTCCTCAATGTAAACTAAACATGACAGGATGAAAAATTTCACTAAGTTTTTTCCAATATAGAATACTACATTATGAACTTCCATGTGGATTTCCTGTTTATGGAGGAAATTATATACAATTTATTTGCATTACATTTGTCCCTAAATAGAGAAAATCAATTACAAAAGCAATAAACTTGATTTTTTTCTGTCTAGCTTCAAATTATCTGTTTAGCTATGCCATACAAAGCTCTCTCTTTTACTATTCCTTCTTGTATCCACTCATAATCACTATAAGAAACAGCCTTGCATTTAACTACAGATTTACATGCATTATTTTTCTAAGTGATCATGTGGAATATGTCTGGGTCCATGAGATCCATTTAAAGGGTAAGAGAAATAGCAGGCTGTTACAATGGGGAATATTTGTCTATGTGTGTCTATTCTGTGTCCCAACTCCAGAGATACACCAACAGTTTTATCCCACTGAGGAAGAAACATGGCAGCAGTTTCAGAAACATGGCAGTAGTTGTGTTGTTGAGCTTTGACCACTGCATAACGACATTAGTGACAAAGGTAGTTCACACTTAATGCAGTGCTGACTGATGTTAAACTGACTAATGCCAGAGTTTTAAAAACAATGGTGCTGCATAGACACAGCTAGCAGAGAGAGCTGAAGGCATATCCTCTTCTAAACAGCTTGTCAGTAAGCAAGAAGGATCCCAGTCAACTACCAAAAACACATCGGGAGAAGAATGCAGTTTAAAGTAAATTTAAAAAGTGAAAACACAAATATATATATATATATTTAAAAGTAATTACTGAGATCTTTTGCAATACAACTTATCTTAAAATGTGTTTATTTCTCAAGCCAGTTTTTCCTGGCACCTAGTGAGATAATTAAAATCTTGACTCACTGTTAGAGTAGTCAGGATAAAATGCTTCAAGTTTTCTGAAGTTTTCAATCTGATTTTTATGTCAAAACGTGGCTACAGCCTACTTCAAATTGTCTGATCTAAAGAGTTTTATTCAAGAAAGCAAACTACCACACCAGATGTTTCTAGGTAACTTCCTTCAAAAGATGACAGAGGCATTCATAGACACTTTTTTTTGCTTATTTATTTTAAAAAAGCAAAGTCAACCTGTTTTATACATAAATATAATAAAACAATAAAAGAAGTCTAACATTCGCAAACATCTCTACAAAATAATAAATATAATGGAGGCAAAAACACATACAAACTCTTTTACTGTTAACTATACTATGTGTCCTACATATATACCTTTATACCCTGCTCCTCCCAACAAAAGTGGCACATGCTTAAACCTCATCAGTGTGGCAGCATTTACCCTTCTATTGTTTAGGCTATATCCTATTTTTTTTAATTGTGTTTCAATCTATTTCTAGGAAAACCAAGCCTTTCTAGAATAGCAAGTTCTAATCAGACTTCTAGCTTTGTATTTTTCTAGATTTGTATTTTACTGCCTTTAATATACAACAGCACACTCCCCTGGTTCTCCAGGCAAAAAAAAGTGAGCACTGTACCTGTGTTAGGGTATGTGCAGTTCACACTCTGATACACATAACTCTCAAGATAGACATTGATACAGATGCATTTATTAACAATGCTTCCATCTAGTCTTACTTCACTAAATTGTATTCATTAGATACTGTGCATGTTAGGGGGCATGAAAATCACAGCCTAGTAATAATGAAATTCCAACAGTATGGAAGTATATTTACAAAGAAAAAAAAAGACTATTCGTATTTCAAACCAGCTCAATTCTACCACCATAAATGGCTTTTAGAAATGCTATAAAAAACATCTGTCAAATCTAAATGGGAAGTCAGAATATCCCATTTCATTAGGAGTAAATTTTGCTTTCTATGCCCTCATCTTATTGGGATAAGGATGGGAGAGAAAATGAATGCAAGGTCAAAACAATGACTGCCTGTTCTGTAAGTTTTCACTTCCATGCTGCTGTGCTGCAGCTCTCAGTCAGCTTTCCAACTACACTATTCTTATAACATGCTATTCTGAATGCAGTGACCCAAAACAGAAGTGTTGCAAAATATAGATTCTCAATACATTTCAGTTTTATGTGCAAAAAATCTGTACTTTTAACAGTACCCTGTGTGTGCAATTGTAGTAGTCAGTCCTGCAGCAACAAAGACTCGCTACTTGTAACAATGACAAAATGTAAAACACATGCTAATTGTTCTTTGTTAAAGAACTGACAATAAAAAAGACGCCATATAAAATACAATATTTCTTTTACTCAAAAATAACTCAGTGGAAATGTATGGAATCCTGTAATACTAATAATGTGGCTATTAATTATACATATGTATGCTGATGCCATAGCAATTATCCTTCAATTTTTACTACATGTAACCAAAAAATTAACTGTTCTACAAAAATAGTCCAATATTAGAGAACAATACAGAACAAAAGTATTACAAAGACTTAGAATTCACAGGGAAAACATTTTAAATTAGTTAAGTCTTCAGCTCAAAGTGCCTTAACATTTAGGCACATACGGTAGGTATATAGTTATCTGGTATTTTTATAGACTCACAGACAAGAATCATTCTGTCTTACCAGTTAAAACAGCTCATGTAATCTGGCTTATCGCAAGCTTTCAAACATTCCCACAAAAAAGAAAGCCAATCCTCTCACCCTTCCAACACAACATCACCACCTCTGACTTATCAGATGGCTGATGCAGGCAGGGTATGCTGACATTGCAAAGATCTGGCACTGTAAGTTTACAGCAAGACCTTGTTACTAACAAAACTGGTGATTTTGAATCAATAAATAATTGTTACGTGAATCCATTTTCAAAATGCAATGCTGTATACTACCATTGCTCTTCTGCAATTAGAAGTTCAGAACTTTGATGAAAGTTCTGCTCCATTAATTCTCTCTTTATGCATTCATAAGGCCATTAAATAGACTGGACTAATTAAACACTTGAGCATCTCACAGCCAGACGAAACCTCTGTAAATCAGTGGCACACAATCTCTAATGTCAAGTTAAACAAAGCTAAAGCAAAATTTCAGGTTCCATCTTTGGATTTCATGTTCATGGGAATATGAATATGCATTCCGTGTCTACAACATCTTGCAAAGTTACATATAAAAAAATATACATATGATAATCACAGTCTAAATCTCCATAGTTCACATATTTCTTAGTAAGTTCCTGAAAAGAGAAAATGCAGCTGGAGCTTGCTGTCTGCTATGAACTTGTACAGATAGTGTATGTAGAGAAAATTTATCAAAGCTGTCCAATTCTTGCTGGAAATTAGCTTCTTGATGTAAGTTATAGTTTATTTACTATTAACTTGGTAAATACAGATAGTAAATATTTATAAATATAAAATGCAAGCCATCAACAGCTCCCTTTTGGTGAGACAGTGTCTCTGCATGTACAAACTTGTCACTGACAAAAGCTTTCCTTGTCCTGTAAGTCTCAACAAGTATTCCTGACTGTTAAATAATCAACCCTATCTTAATGTAGTGTATTCCCTCTCAATGAGTCTATTCCTGCTCCCACATAAGTCAGTGGAAAATTCTTATTTCTCTCAGTGGAAGAGGACTAGATAATTATGTGCTTTGAAAGTGTTACAGGATTATTCAGATCCTTTCTCAGTATGCAGAATAATAACATATAAATAATGCATGTCAATTCCCATTTCTCCTGAAAAGTATTTTTATTTTAACGTTAATCTTATTTTTACCTTAATCTTATTTTATCTTAATTTCTGAAATTATTACACAGGAATACTGGAGATTTGGGTCTTAGGTTCGGCAATCACTGCTTGACAGCTGAAATGTCTTAACATCCTCACAAAGTTTTTAGCTTAGACAAAAGTATATTGCCCACAAATGTTTCTACATAGTAAAAACTACATAAAAAGCTATTTTCCATATACTGTTAAAGTGGTTATGTAGTGTTGCCTATACAACTGCAGTAAGCTTTTTGCCTTCCATGTTATACAGCATAACATCGCAGGATAAAAGGCTGTATTTAAAATGAATGTCACAACAATATGTTCAGCCATATAGCTGCACTTTACAGCACTGGTCTCTTGGTGTACTGCTATACTAAACAGTAGGGAAAAAAACTGGATAGTGAATGATAGTTTTAAACTGACACATACTTTTGACTGCTGTGTTAAGGCAGACAGAAAGATGAAGATTTCCAATGCAAAATCCACAATGGGTTTTTCTAGTGTTACTGCCTAGGAATCCAAGAAGTTAACAGAAAAGAGAGGCCACTGTACAGCTAGGGTAACGGAAAGCCCCACATGAAATACAAGCAAAAAGGAAATAAGGAAGCGAACAGATGGAGCACACAACAGGAGAACAGCAAGTGAAGTACAGCAAGCAGAAGTTCCATATTATTGAAAAAAACAAATACTTCAGGGAGAGGCTGGTGAGTAAAGTTCAGTCAGGGGCTTTTTTCTTCTACCTTGTACCCAGGAACTGATTTGGGTAATACAGAACGTTTGGAACCATCTTTTCTTGGAGTAGCACTTTTGTCTCTTGTTTTTTGTCTTCCCTGAAAAGAATCCTCCTGGTTGTCTGTGGCGCAATCACCTTCAGATACATTGCCAGACGAATTGTCCTATAATAAAAATACCATAGCTATATTTTTTTATTTTTTGGATAGACAGACAAGTCTTCTGTATGCCCCTTAGAGCCAACTAAGGTAAGAGAAGGGTACATCATTCCTTCTGCAAAAGCATAGGGTTTATCACAATCTAAAACACCTTTGCTCACAACATTCATTATCTATTTTTTCTCATGCTAAGAGATTGGCATCAGCAACAGCAGTCCTGTTTTCCAGTTGGTCTTGGCACCAGTGTGGAGAGCACAACAGTGCAATTCTTTGAACCGTTTTCCATTAAGTCACAAGAAATCCATTATATGCAAGATGCTGTTTACAAAGTAAAGGGCCAGCAAAAAGTTAAAAGTGCCCTTGTCATGCATTTAAAGTGTACTACCAAACAGCACTGCCTTGAATTTAATGTGTGAAGGTTTTTTTCTGCCACCCTCATCTACTATTTTCACCAGGAGCAATCTAAATATTTAATTTGGACTGCAGCAGAAAAATGCCATCAAGAGCAAAACACATTTCCATATTTAATACAGAACCAAACAATAGGATTTACGTTGCAGTTAAAGGGGTTTTTTTTGAGGAATGACGAGGCAAGAAAGAGGGGAAGAGTTTCAAAGAGGGTGAGAGATCAATGTAAGCATAATAAAGAGCAGCAGCACAAGACTTTTCTCAGAAAAGTGTTAATAAAGGCTTCCAAAAAAGCTCCAGAAGGAAGCAGCATGATTATTCACATTTATTACCCAAGAGGTCAAATAACAATGGTGCCCTACAGTAAAACATGCTCTGTATAAACATAATAGTAATCAGCCTAAAACCAAAACAGACAAAACAGACAAAGGGCAAATGGAGGGGTATAACACCAAAGCCAATCAAACTACGTGGCAACAAGAAATGCTCTGTTTCGCCATTATTTTAGGGGAAGGGTTATTTAGGACAGACTCATTAAAACACTACAGAAAAGGAAAACTGCTACCAACTTCAAACAATGGGGAGGGTGAAAAAGGAAAAAGTATAAAGCCTAGTGTAGGACTCACCAGGGAGATCTGACAGATGGTAGGTAGCCCAAAACTTAGAGGCCTGACAACAGCCACCTCTGTGTTCAACAGATGTTTTTCCTGAACTATATGCCCATCCTCAGTGACTAGCAAAGAACCCCTGATTCCACAGCCAAACCCATTTCACAGGAATCTGATTATAAATTTTGCACATTTTTCTACACTTTTCAAACTAAAGGACATTTTTCCTTCTCCATTCTGTCACCAAAAAAGACTACTGAACTTCTATGAAAAATCAAAGGATAGTCTGCTTGGCCCAGTTACTTTTCTTTACCATTAACACAAATGACTGTCAGTAGAAACGGAAACTGGGAAAAAATGGTTAAAGACCAACTTTAAAACAGCTGGAGTGTGATTAAACCAAAATTTTGAGCTGACATTTAACATGCTAAGTTTATATAATTTCTTCTAAAAAAAATGCAAGCAGAAGCAATGTATTAATAGCCCTCTCTCCTCTGTTAATCTACAAGCTGACCTCTTCCTTTCTTCTTCAGTTATGAGTATCTTTACAAAATTCAAACAAAATAAATATTTACATGGCAAAACTTAGAATTATATATACCCACCATCAAACGTTCATCAATCAAGCTAGAAACTGGTAAATGCACTTGTGACATTCCATTGCTGCTAAAATTAGGGTTAAACCTCTGGAAAGTGGTTGTCACCAACATACAAACTACGCCAATACACAAACAGTTCAGTTGCACTCAACTCATTTGAAGCTCAGCTGCTCTCGAGCATTTAAAACACTATCAAGGTAAGTATGTGGAAGTTTTCCTTAACTTTCAGCTAATGCTTAATTTTGCATTTGTGTAAGTAGAGAGAACATAAATATCTGTTTAAAGATGTATTGTTAAGCAAAAAAACCAGCACTTTTTACCCTCTTTTTAAATTGAAATAAGGTCATTGTTTCAGTACTGAGTACTTCCTGCTCCTATGTCACAAAAAGTTATGAGATTATAAACACCTCTGCTTTAGGGACAGATTCTGTGGGACTCTAAACAGCAGAGTATAGCGACCTGAACTACAGTGTTCGTTCTCTTCAGAAATGCTAGCAGCAACTTCCTCCTGGGGAAAGGGGCACAATGAAGAGCTGTATTGGGAAGTTTCTTCAAGATTTCTTAAAAAAAAAAAAAAAATGAAGAAAGGGCCTGAAATTTCAAGTATTTGTTCCACTTACTTTAAAAATGGATCAAAGTGGAAAGCTGGAGAGCAGTGTGATAAATTAAAATACCAAAATGGTCCTCCTTTCATTTTGCAAATGTTGAAAGGTTCTACTAAGAAACTAGTGAAACTAACAAAAGTGAAGGGAAAGAATTATTTTGTTCACGAATACTTTCAGCTTATCTCACCGAATTGCCTTTGGTTTTCCGTTTTTCATCACCTCGCCCTTCTTCTGCATCATCTGAATCTCCATCACTGTCCAATGCAGGCAGCTCTGGATCCAAAGGAGGTTCATAGAGAGCTGTGTTTAATGGTAAGTAACGAAGTTCATCTGGAGAGTACCTAAAGTTAAACAAATAAAATTAATTAATTCACGTGTACTTGAGGCAAAAACATTAAATCACGCAGTATACCAGGACGTCAATAAGAAAGAGTAAGAAACACTTCTTTTTTTTCAGGAAGGCACATGAAGGTGTGAAGTTCTGAAAACACAGGAAACATACTAATTTGTCCTCCCAAATGTGATACCATCTAGTACTTGTCTTCTTTGTAGAGCAGATATTGAGAGAACACAGGAGAGTGTATTTGCAACGTTCCATAACTGCGTAAGGGACCACGGAACCACTACAAATTTTTAACCAACCCATGCTACTATGCCCAACAGACCATACATTTTGTTTATAAATGTACAGTGCCCACATAGCATGTGTAGAGTTCTAACCCAGGGCACACAAATACATCCAAAGATAAGGAAAGAACACAGCTGTACATCTGAATTCCTTAATTACTGAAGGAGAATGGAAAAATACATCTAAAAATATAATTTCAGAAGAATGCAAAGATCTAATCACATTGCTTATAGCCAGACACATACAGCTTAACATCCATAATCTACCCTTTTTCTTTTTAACTTAAAAGACTCAGAAAAAAGTGAAAGTCGTCTTACTGCTGATGACAAGCATTGTAAGAAATAGGATACTATCCTGATGCACATTTTGAAAGGTTGTGTCTTTCACTGAGATGGATAAGCAGTTTCACTTGCAGCTTAAAAGTGCAAAATAAACATGATATATAGTAATTTTAATTCAATTAGTTTAATGAAATTGAAGTCCTTCAAGAATGTCCTGTAGCATGCAAATTTGGGGTGGGCTGTACGAACACACACTGGAACAAGCAAGGCACTTGCAGATGGAAGAGCTTCTCTAAAGAAAACCAAGCATGTACAGAATGAATACCATCTCTGTTGTACAATGGTAAGACTTGGACAAAATCTTCAAATCAGTATGTATCTGTTCAATGGTAGCATGCCACTAGTAATATCTTAAATTTATGTAAACCATTTTTCATGAATGTAAAGATCCAGCTTGCAGTGTCTTTCCTTCTCACGAATCCAACATGAAATTTATCCCACAAGACCAATCAACATTTTTTTTTAAATTTAAGAGTTTCTAAAAATTTAAAAAAGGACAGCAAGACTGTCGCACAGAAAACATGTGATCACAAGCCAGCACTACAACACTTTGACACAGAAATATTAATCTTGGTACACATGCAGAAGCAGATGATAAGTAAATACGTGAGGCTGGCAAGAGTGAAATCAATGTCTCCTTTTACCATGGTAAATATTTGAGCAGGACAAATCTTAGGCACTGCAATACATCAGGGTAGACAGTACTCTTGCAGTCATTACTGACTGCTGTTGACAGAAAATGTCACACTGTGCATCTTCCAAGATTAGCAAGTGTCTCAAACATAAAATTAAATCAAAACCTTACAGTAAAGACACTGAAATGTTTTCCATCTGCTACATGTAGAGAAAAGAGATAAGTGCAAGAGAATTGGCAGTTGGCATGCTTTTAAAATACCTTTTGTAGTACTCCTGGAACTGGCCGGGTATGAGAGCCACTGGATAAGGACTAACCTTTGTTCTCTCTGTAGGTAAGATTTTGTATTTTCCTTGAGGCACCTGGATAATCTGCATTGTTTAATATAAAACAATGACATTTTTGTTTCACATACAAACTGTTGAGTCTTTCTCACCAACTATTCCCCCAAATATTTCTTAACTAGTCAGTTTGATTAAACTGGGAGAGCTACCTGAGTTCTTCCGTGAGAAATTCAATTCATTAAAACAGAAGAGGTCCCACTCACAAAACAGTATTATTTATTAAATCCAATCCCTAAGTACCTAGTAAACTGAATGAACATTACGTAAGACTACTTTAAACAGTGTATTAGGAAAAATAATTTTAATACTAAAATCTAGCAACTGAAACAGTAAACATTAACTTTTGTGCGTGGCATCCTTAGCATGAATTATCACTGTTGGCCCATACTGGTTGAAAGACCACATCCATGTAAGTCTGAAACCAGACTGCAGTATAAAAAATTACATTAATAATACAAATACAAGGAAAGGAGAAGCGTACATAGAAGCCTTCCTTCCCTCAGAAGGAAATAAAATTGATTATCCACTATCTTGCCTCTAACATGAGTGAATACCAGAAAGATGTAAAATTTCCACAATACCCTGCCATGTAATAATTTGCAGAGAAAATTTTTGCTGCCTGTATAGAAGCAGAACAGTACTGCTTCAAAATGCCAGCTAATTATTTTTAATCAGTCACAGAGGCATGTAATATATATACAATACAAAAATAATGTAACATCTAATCAAAAAAAGGGCATAACACTGACAGTAACACTCTTTCAAAGAATAAATAGTTTTCTTTTTTACTTCAGGTATTGTTCTGGCAAAATTTTGGAGGTATTCCAAAGGAGAATTAGCCGTTTGTATGCATAGATATAATAGCAACAGAAGCTTCTTAGTAACCTAAACAACCCTCTTAGTTTTATTCTTCTACCATCAGATTAAAGACATAATAATAAAATAACACTGATATTTTTAGAGCTTCCTGAGACAAGTATTTTCAAGTTAAAAACGTTTTCAGATTAAATATATTTGAGATTATTTTTAGCACTATTACCCATTTAAGAGTAAAACTGTGTAAGTCCCTACATGACTGAAACAATAATCAAAAACCTTGACAGAAGTTAAAATGGTACCAAAACCAACTTTACTAAAACAAGTAAGGAGCTACCTGTTAACATTGGTAAGAAATTTAAATCTGCCTACATGAGTCTGTAAATCAAAATAGGCTCTTCTTTCTTCCATCCGCTCTCGGTTTAAATTGCTGTTGAATTCTGCAGCTTTCTTGGCAGCTTTTTTAATGTATTCTGGAACTTTACTGGCTTCTACTTTCTGTGTGTTCTGCTGCTGCATTTGCTGGAATAAAAACAATTTTATGAATCCGCATACATTTCACTATCAGTTTGAGAACAGCCTTTTCTCACACTCAGTGTTACAGATGCGGTTCACTTATATGCTAATTACTTACAGAGTACTCTTTATAATGATCTGTTATTCGCTGACGTTCTTTCTCTTGCAGTATAACAGAATACTCAGCATGTTTGGCAGGGTATTCCTTAATCATAAGATCAATTACTTCATCGCTACGCAAAGCTGTTAGACCTAAAATAGATAAAAGCAATAATGATGCTGTCTGGCAAAAGCAACTGTAGGTTATTTATATCCCACAATAACCAACTCAAGTTTTTGAGCAGCTAAAGACAACAACCTACTTTGCCTGTACCCAATGAGCCAAGGCTCATGTCATTTCTTCCTTACAGCTACAGACCCCTTCAGATTGACTTAACCACCTACTCAGAACTCCACAGCGAGGCAGAACCTTAGTTCTAGATGGGACCTAGCAAACTTAGTTTCAGTTTCCAACACTGATCAAATCTTAGTTTCATTAACCTGCAGAACCTTTACTGAAATTACGAGGTTTACATAACGTCTCATACAAGTCAAGAAAGAATCACCATGAGAACAATTCAGAGCAGCAAACTGACTCCTGATTCCCAACTAAAGCATCTGAAGTTCATAAGTCAGAACTCCTCAGTTTGCAGCCACAATGCAGAACTCTTCTTTTAGAGGTTCCAATACAACTAATCTCCAAACACAGGCAATGGAATGGAATGACTTATAACCTTAAAAATATAAATATAACCTTAAAAATATGGATAGTTGACTCAGCACACATCTCTGTTGAATATATGAGACAGAATATAACATTTTACTTCTATTAATAAAAATTAGATATGGTCTCGTCTGTATAGTCAAGTTAAAACAAATAAATACAGAGGTGGCAGGTGAGAAATAAAGGTGATATACCAAAGATTGTTAGTATTTAAAATGACACTACATTTACACATTTACCCATGATATACAGAAAAAAATGTGGCAGGTATCATTTAAACTCTAACATGTCCAAGCCACATATATTAGCAGAGTAAGAAAAATATTCTTCAAACTCTTTTAATGTAAGCCTCAGTTACATCATTCCATTTCAAGTACATTAAAGTGCCTTAATATACACTCTTCTTGTCTCTAATATAGAAGTGGGACCATTTAAGAGCTCCAACCAACGCAGCAAAACAAGACTGACGTACTTTTTATTTGAAAAATTATGGTGGTCTCTTTCTTAGGAGAAAAAGGTTCTAGAAGTTAATTTACTAGCTAGCACAATCCCTTCTAAGTAATTAGATCAAAAATATATTTTTATAATAAATCTGGAATATTAATACTTCATGGTTAACTTACCAAATTAATAATAAACCAGTTTTAATTTCAGAATTTATGTTTTCAGTTGAGAGTGATGCAATTCTTCTCTGCCAAACTGAACCTTCTTTTTCAGTGTGGTATAGTTTTTATACTGTAACAAGGACTCTTAATAATTTGTTTTCTTACCTAGTGTGCATTGAGTCTCTGTGATAACATTTAGTTCTCTGAGGTAGAGTTTCTCCTTGTGAGACAGATCTCGCCTTTCTAAATCTCCAAAGAAAACAAGAACGAGAATAAAACTGTGTGCAGTTACTCAAACTCCTCCATAAACACTGTCAAAGTATTTTGACAATTTTGTTTCCAGGCAGCTAGTCTGTATTATACTACTACTTCAACAAATACTGCGATTTTATAAAATAATTTTAAATTTAATACACAGTGTAGGGACATGGTCAATTTTCTTGAGTACCCTGCCTGCAGTTATGATATACAGAAAACTAAAGAAAACTGATATATGAATTTAGATGCAGTAATTATTAACAAGCATTAAAAGTACAGTCTTTTTTAATTTTACTATGCCTTTTAAAAATAAATTCTATGACAGAAGTTCCAGATTTAACAATTCTGAATAATGAAGGCTCAAATACTAGAACCTCCACAATTAGTTTTAAAATTCTTCTACAATGTAGGAATGTTGCCACAATTCAGGAAACAGAATATATAGTTAAATAGTAAGAAATGACCAACAAAATATTTAAAAATGAAATCGAGGTAATTTTCAAAAGGTACTTGCTGATCTAATAATCCCCAAATCAGACTTTTTTTACAAATTTTTAGTGGCAATACCAAAAAATCTTATATTATTTCAAAAACCATAGGATACACTTGCAATACACCAGTAACAATAATAAAAAGTACAACATATACAATCCAGAATGCTTTTGTTGCAAGGTCTTTTTTTAAACAGTTGGCTCATGCTATATATAATCAAAGAGACACAGAGTGGATCTGTTTAAAGACACAATTTTGAGCAGAAAAACTTTAAAAATAAATACCTGGATATTTTCTTTTAAAGGAAGTTACACCCAAATATTCACTGACTTGCTCCTGTAGCATATAGTATTCTCCTGTTTCATCTGGTGGCCATTTGTATTCTATCAAATTTTCAGCAGGAAAATAACTATATCTAAATACAAGAACAATGTTAGAACAAATCACAAGAATCCTTAAGAGTAATACTTACATTTCAAAAAATTCCATAATTCCTATTTATATGTCAATAAACAGTAACTATGAAGTTGGACAAGCGCTTCAGAACACTACATCTTGTTAACCCATTTCAAAGTCACTTTGTTACACCCAGTTACTTTGTTACACCCTTCACATACCATTCATCCAAATAACCACTTTAAATATCCAAATAACCATTCATCAGCATGCTAAGAGACAGAACATAAAGGAAGTGATATCCATTATAGTGGAGAGGACACCAGGAAAAGAAACTACTACAGTGTCAAAATTCATTCAAGAAGCATGCAATGTTTTAAAAACATGTCAGCTATGTTTCTGATTTTATATCGGATGCAGCACTTTTTGTGGCATTTTAAAATAAAATGCCTTAAAGTATGCTGGGAGGAAAAGACAGCCAGTTATTAATAGAACATCGCCTCAATTCAGAAAGAAGAATGTATGAAGAATATGAAAGTAAAGAAAAAAGAGCTTTACTTAAGCATATTGAACAATACAGTAAAACTTGCAATAAAAAAAGTGAGAATTGTAAAAAATGGTATTACCCAAGGTCTTGACTAGAAGTTTCACAGCTCCGAGAACTGTCCCCTGAGCCCATACGCCGTCTTTTGGATGGTTGGCTGCCATCATTGGAATTTTCTTCTGTGTCATCCTGAAATGCAAATGAAGGTAAATATTAAAAAATTAAGAGTATTCAGCAGAGGGTGTAAAACATCAAAAAAATATTGCAAAGCAATCCACAATTTAAATCCACACCTGAACTACTGAGATGTTCTATGTACTCTTAACAAAAAACTCATAGGACAATTTATGCAGTAAATTATTTTTTGCTATAAACGAGCTGCATAAGACATGCAGGCACAGAAGCAGAGTTAGGTGGCTCCTCAGCTGTTGCACTGGTGGACTGAATAGACAGAGCTGTAGCTCTGACCACGAATAATTCCTGATATAAACTATTTCTGGAACTTAATCAGACTGGCTCTCAAAAACTGCAAGCGCAGAACAGAAACACCAAACCCTTGCTGAGAGCTGATGCTTAAAAATCAGGGAAAATATAATCGAAAGCAAGTTTATAGGCATACAGTTAAAATTAAAGGAATGGTTTACAAAAAGTATCATTACAGCAAGGAACAAAGACTTGTGTTTTGTAAGGAAAAAAAAATGAAAGAAAAAACTTGACTTCATACTGCAACAGATATAGACCAAAGCTATTACAAGGGAACACTCAGAAGTTAAGTTACAGGTGTACAGATTTCAGGAGATCCATATAAAGAAAGGGAATGAAGGGTGAAGAAGAGAAAAAAGGACCAAAACAAAACATAGAGTTCTGTAAAATCTAGAAACCAGCGACTCAGCTGATCTTGAATCTTTCACTGCTTTGTTGTCCAACAATGCTATACAACTCCTACCTGCATCATCAACAACTCTCAAAGCATTTAGTGACCAACCCTGTCCGATCAAAACTGAGACAAAAAAAGCAGAAAACTCCAGGTAAATTGCATATTGTAACAGGCAGTAGAGTCAAGAACAAGACAGTTTTTTAAAGTAGTTGAATCTCTAAAGTGGAGTAGCATTGAAAGAATTGCATTTTATAACTTCCATGAAAAGTTTAAGCAAGAAGAATTAACCTGTCAGAAATAAATGGATCAAGCCCAATTATACTTACTTACTTAATAATGCCAAGAATGGTTATTAGGTTTATGTTTGCTAATGTCTTTCATTCTAGTAGGCTTTACATATCATAGGACTTGAAATATCAATTTAGCAATATTCCAGCAAATAAGAATATATTACTTTGTTTATGTAACATTTAACAATGCTATAATCAAGACAGCCCATCGGGAAAAAGAATTTGTCTCCTGTATTTTTGGTTTATTTCTCGTTTTTCTAAATTCTTCACAAATTTTCTTTCCAGTTAAGGAGCAAGAAGAATATCTTTCACACGATAATAAAAAGTGAAAAGCAAAATATAATTAAACTGTTTTCTTAATGCAGCCATCCTTAAAGAATTAGGCATGCAGCATCTCCACTCGTATTACTAGTAACGCCACTTCCTAGCACTGCTGTATAAACTCAGGTAGACAAACCAAGCAGCAGTCCCCAATCAAAACAATACTGCACTATTTTTTGACACAGCTATGTCTCATTAGCAGTTCATCCCTACTTCCCACACAGAATACTAATGCACTCCAAACCTTCTGAACTGCTAGACAGGACCAAAGCAATGCTCTACTATACCAAAACCACCAAAGGACTTCAAAACATCTTTAAAAGATAGATCTCAACCTGACAGTTCGGTGGAAGTGCCTCATATCAATTTCTACTTTCACTTTGTAATTTTTCTTTTAAGTCCTCTAGTGTTAAAACAATGAGTACCATTTCCCAAATCTTCGTTCGTGAAGCCTAGCCATGACCCATACCACAGCAGAGATGAATGTCCTCCGCTTACAATTTCGCTTACTTATTTGATAAAACTTCAGCAAACTCAATCACACAAGCTCATGAGTAAGTTTGTTGCAGAGGACTTAGCAGAAGTGAAAACACTGGCAGTGCGATCTAAGATACGCTGCTGTTCAACGACTCCTACTGTTCCAAAAAAAAAAAAACCCAAAAGAAAAAAAAAGAAAAAGGGGAAGTTCTGTGTCTTTCTTTACATGACAAGTCAAACGCTGCTAAAAAAACGCCCCTTCCTCCCCTAAAATTTCCTTACGAAAGGTGACGTTCCGAACTCCTGGTAAGTCTATTAATTATAAGATCGACGTAACGATCCTTTATTACGCGATTGGGAAGCCTGAACTACCCGAGATGTGTTTCAAAGAGCGATGTGTTTCGATCTGCGCCCCGAGCCCTCGGCGCCACAAGTGCCCGCGGTTCCTGGGACGCACCAGTGCAGCCCGGCGGGGCCAACGCGGAACTGCCCGCGGCCGAACCCAAACTTTCCCGGCTGCGGCGCTGCCGCGCCGCCCCCGGAAAGGCGCCGAAGGACTTTTCGGAAGCAGGGCTGCCCCGGGCACCCAGCCCCGGACCCGCGCCCTGAGCCGAACTTCGGGCGCGGGAGGCCGACCGGCTCCCCCGGCGGGCGTGAGGCGAGCCCGGGGCGGGCGGGTAGGGGGGGGTTTCAGCGCCCAGGCGGGGGAGCGGCGCGAGGCCTCCCGTCGAGGCGGCTGTAGCGCCGCAGCCCCACGGCCGCCGCCGCCCGCTCTCACCTTGAGGGACTGCGCGCCGGGCGTGGCGGGGTCGCTGTCGCAGAGGCGCGGGGACAGCACGGCCGCCATGGCCGCCGCCGGCTGGGCCAGGAGCAGCGCCGCCGCCGCGCGACCGGGCCTCGCGCCGCGCCCGCCGGCCC